CCGTGACGCCCGCCGTCCCCAGGCCAACGCCGAGGTGGCCGTGCGGGAGATGCTGAAGGGTTTCGCCGCGCGTTGGGGCACCGCGGTGGAAGCCGAGGACTGCATGGACGACGGTTCGCCCATCCAGCTGCGGGTGCAAGTGGATCCCCGGGAGGTGAGCAGGCAGACCCGGGACATGGGACATCCCCCCACCCCCAAGATGGGGTTTGGGGGAACGGCCCCGGGATGGGATGCGGGGCCACCCCTCGTCCCCGCTGTCCCCACAGGGCAGCGCCGTCTTCGACTTCTCGGGCTCAGGACCGGAGGTGTACGGGAACTGCAATGCCCCCCGCGCCATCACCCTCTCTGCCCTCATCTACTGCCTGCGCTGCATGGTGGGCCAGGACATCCCCCTCAACCAGGTGGGTGCCGGACCCCCAGGCTGCAAAAGCCCTGGGCTGTGGGACCCCCCAGGCTGCAGGACCCCCCTGGGCTGCGAAACCCCTGGGCTGCAAAAGCCCTGGACTGTGGGACCCCTGGGCTGTGAAACCCCCCAGGCTGTGAAACCCCCCGGGCCACGAAAGCCTAGGGCTGTGGGACCCCCTGGGCTGTGGGACCCCCAGGCTGTGGGACCCCAGGGCTACGGGACCCCCCAGGCTGCAGGACCCCTCTGGACTGTGAAACCCCTGGGCTGCAAAACACTTGGGTGTGGGACCCCTGGGGCTGTGGGACCCCAGGGCTGCGAAACCCCCCGGGCTGTGGGACCCCAGGGCTGTGGGACCCCCCCTGCATCCCCCTGCCAAGCAGGGCAGAGCGCCCCGAGGAGTCCTGGGCAGGTGCTGTTGGGGGGAGCTGCCAGCCTAGTGCTTCCCCGGGGATGAGGGGGTCCTGGGACCCTAATCCCCTGGGGTGGGGGGGTCCTGGGACCCTGTTCACCCAGGGAGGTGCTCTGGGACCCCAATCCCCTGGGGTGAGGGGGTCCTGGGACCCTGCTCCCCTTGGGGGGGGGGTCTGAGCCCCTGCTCCCCTGGGGCAGGAAGATGGGAGGGGCTTGGGGTGCTGCAGGTGTGGGGCAGGATCCGTTTGGGGGGCCAGCCGGGTCTGATGGGTGTCGTGTCCCCCCCAGGGCTGCCTGGCCCCTGTGCGGGTGGTCATCCCCAAGGGCTCCATCCTGGACCCCTCACCCGAGGCTGCCGTGGTGGGGGGCAACGTCCTGACCTCCCAGCGGGTGGTGGACGTCATCTTCAAGGCCTTCGGGGTCTGTGCCGCCTCCCAGGTAGGGACCAGGGTGGCGGGGGGTCCGGGGAGTTCCAGGGGCCAGGGTGCTGGGGGTCCTGGGGGTCAGGGGTCCCAGGCATCCAGGGTCTCAGGGTGCTAGAGGTCAGGGGTGCCAGGGGGTCCTGGGGGTCAGGGGTCCTGGGGATCTTGGGGTTCAGGGTTCCTGGGGTGCCAGGGGTCAGGGCTCCTGGGA